TGTTGAAGATTAATTAGTTTTATGATGTTTTTCTGAGTAGATGTTTTATGTTAGTTGTTAGATAGGAGGTGGGGACCACAGTAGTTATGTGAGTCTAAATTTTATTATGTTTTTGAGTGTTATATATGCAGTTTTATGTTTTGCCGCCCTATAAGGGCATAGTTGTCTTTGCATTGTTCTATTATTTTAGTATAAATAATAAGTGAAGGGGGCGGCCAGATTATTGCTCTCTTTTCTGTCCAACTTCTCTTCTTCTCTTCCTCTCCTTCTCTCTTCAAGAAACTACTTTTCTTTTTTATATATATTTTTTAATTCAGCAGATTTCTACTTTTAGAAACCACCAAGGAGTGGTGGTGGCCTTGTCTTCAGGACCAATTGGTTTTGGAGATTCAGTCCAGGCTGAAAATTCTGGCTCTCTTACAAGGATTGAGACTTGCAGTAGCTCGGAGTAAGGGTACTGGAAATTGAGACTTGCAATTAGTCATCTCATGGACCAAGAATTTCAGTTCAGCTCCTTGGAAATACAGACATGCTTCCAGGGAAATTGATATCCTAGCATAGAGGTTCAATTTTACTTTCAGATGGATAAGGACTGCAAATGGGTTGGCAGATGTTTTGGCAAAGCAAGGAGTTGACAGTCCTAGTTTGTTTTGGGCAAAGTTGTAATCTGATATAATTTGGGCTGGTGGGATGGACTATTAACTGTATTCTTCTCCAAATTTTGTAAATATTTTAATAAAAAATTCTTTTCTGATAAAAAAAAGAACCATAGGCCTCCAAGAATACCATGCTTGTCGTTTCTTGGGCAAAAGCTGTCAACCACCTTGAGCACCATCTAATCAATTGAAGATTGATCTTACCATGGGTAAGATCTAAAGTGCCATCACTAAGTGCAAGTTTGCAACAAAGATAATTGGAACATGGATCCCCATCAGTTTGGTGTAAGCTAGTTACTGCTATGCTGCAATCTTCAAGTTGCTTTGTTTGAGAGAAGCTCTGAAGTGTCATTCCCAAATTACAGTATTTCCAAGAGAGCTAGTTTGAGAGGGAGTGTTTTGTAGAAGAATTAGGTTATGTTAGGAAGAAAATATATAATCGGGGACTTTACTATAATGTCATATCCATTGGGAGTTTTCTTCTAATTTTGGACACTTTTACTTTTATATAAAAAGTAAAGAGAGACAGATTGGCATGTGATATTGCTAGACTAAAATGATCTCTCTTTGTTCTCTCATCTCTCTTTTATTTTATTTCTCCTTTTTTTTTCATTTTTTATTCATTATTCATCTTAAGAGAAACAATGACAAAAAAATGCCATAAACTTAATTCAGATATTAAATATCATAATTACCACCAATCATATTGACTAGTTTTTTTGAAGGTAAATAAAAAAGAAAATTTTATAAAAGAAAAAGTAAAACAAAGAAAGGTGATAATCACCCCAGAGAGAATACATCCCTAATACAACAACCCTAAACCAAGTCCCATATATTCCCCCTTCATTATCACAAAAACTGGCCCTTCATCCAAATTACCCATACAACGTACCCACCACAGAAATTAAAACAAAACCCACAAACCACACATCAATCAAATACCCAAAAAAACACATACATTAGAAAATCCCAAAAGAAAGTAGGCATCCACACCCAAGCCCAGACTGTCTTTCTTGCATTACATCGAGTCTTTAGATCCATGAATTATGTTTTCCTTTCTACTTCTATGTGGCCTTTTAGGTTTTTTTCACAGCCTTGTTGGGACCTACTCCAAACAAACCCCCTTTCAACCTGGTAAGCACCTTTGAAACCTGGACCTGATATTGAATCTTTTGATTTTTTGAAGCATCTAGCTTCATTTGAGACTTCCTCAACTTCCTTTCTTTTTTTTTTTTTTGATCAATAACTCAGAAAATCGATTTCATTAGAATTAAATAAAGCAGTACAACCAGAAGTTGTGAAGGAAACAAAGAGGACACCAGATGTCCAAACCCCCAAAAATTACATATAGGCCCAAAACATAGACCATCTTTGCACCCCTTGTTTAGACAAACTATCTGCCAAACTGTTGGCCGACCTTCTAACCCAATTAATTTGAATCAGCATATCCCTAGAGAGCATTTTGAATCTCCTAAGACCATTCCTTAGGTGACAAGAGACTCCTTCCCCTTTCCATAACCAGTCACAACTGTTTTGGAGTCACCTTCAATAATTAACCTTGCCAGGCCCAATTCCTTGGCTCTCTCAAGCCCAATTATAGCAGCTAAGAATTCTGTAGATGCCACATCACTACGCCCAGTTGGACCCGAGAAAAGGCACAAATGTTGCTTTCCTCATCCCTGATAGCTCCTCCAATACCTTCAGGGCCTGGATTAGTCACACTGCTCCCATCAAAGTTCAATTTGAACCAGCCACGAGGTGGAGACCAGACCACTGTTTCAACTTGTCTTAGAAGACGAAGCAATGATAATCCCCCAAGCTCTGAAGAAATCATCAATCTGAAAATCTAAGAACAAGCTCAAGGTCTTAATGCAATGAGCCACTCGAAGAGTTATGACCTCAACCAAAGCTTCCTTAGTTCTTTCCTTTTCCCCAAATATTCTAGAGTTTCTTTCCTCCCAAACAGTCCAAACAACTGCTGCCCTTGTACATATCCACACCGGCCTGCCTCTTTTAGTAGTGCACCTGCAAATAGAAGGGGAAAACAACCCTTCCAAGCTAACAGAAGAGAGCGACCTGCAACCAAAAAGTGAGGCAAACTACTCCCAGATAAAGCCAACAAATGGATAGGAGATTAAAAGATGAAAAGCAGTCTCACCATTAGCCTTGCACAAGCTACACCAGTTGGGAGACAAGCACCAGTTTGGCCTTTTTCTTTAAAGCTTATCATAAGTATTAATGCAACCATGAAACACTTTCCCAACAGAAGGCACTCACTCGAGGAAGGGGAGGGAGAGGAAGCAATAAGGAAATTGAAAAAGGATTTGCAAGTGAATACCCCGGCCGAGTTAAGGGTCCAAACTCTACTGAAGTCGCCCCAGCCAGTCTTACACCTATCTGCAACCATTGTCCATTCTGCCATCTCATTCCCCCTTCAAATTTTCTCCATCTCCATCTGAAGTCACATTTTCTTGAGAAACTGAATTGTCACAATCACAAACAACCACTGACTTATTTATTTTCTCTTTCACCCTGATCTTTCATCTCCCAGTCCCTGCTTCCTCAATCCGTTTCACTTGCTCCCTCTCTCTGTGTGTTCTGACCCCCCCCCCCCCATCATCTTCCACTCCGACCTTCCCCACAAAATCTTCCATGATCACCACCAATTCCTTCCTTCCTCAACCCCAACATCCTCTTCCTTAATGAGAATTTCCTGATCGATTTCTTTCTCTTCCTTCTTTGCCAAAGACCCTAGAATATCATCACTTACAATCTCCTCCTCGCCACAATTCTAGCCTCTCCCCTTTCTCCACTTTCCAACCACTCCGATTCCACTTCCCTTCCACCTGCACAAACCAATTGAGTTTCTTTCCCATATTGAGTAGTTTTGTCAGTTAAAGCTTAAACTTGCCTTATTCTACGCAGTTGGTTTTTATGGTAGTTTGAATTCTATGCATGAGTATGTCTCTTTCAGTATTTCTTAGAATTTCCAGGTTTCTCCTTAAAATGGTGTTATTTTATACCAATTCAATACAATCAGAAATATTTATCCTCATATAAGCATATTACCGATGGTCATTATGCAAATCATTATCGAACTTTTAAACTGTGAATGGAAAAAGAAGTTATAAGCATTGAACATAAAGCAAATATGAAGGTATCAAAAGAGAAAAGAGAGAAAAGTGCATAGATTATATCAAGGAAATAGAGAGAACTAGTAATTTGACTAAAATAAATGAATGATAAAGTAGAAGAGTATACCTTCAAGAAGCACCATATATCAGTAAGTGAAAAAACAGCTAGCTTGACTTGAATCAGAAAACTGAATATGTCAGCATATATTCGCAGCGCACCTGGGGTTAGGACAATATTGACCGGCCAATCCACTTTGTAGCCTAAGGCTATGAAATCAAATGAATGAATTCCTGCAATTTGAATTGAACAGCACAGTATCACAAAGCCAAGCATAATTTTTTATGCAAGGTGTAAACACACTGACATCATTAAATATATAACTAGATAAATAAATAAATAACCCCATTTCCATCAGAACAAAATGTCTACCAATGGAAGAACTTGAGATGGGCATCATGCCATGCCCTCTCGTGTACACAAACAACCTATCCTTGTAATTGTCTCTTTCACATGAAGACCTTTGTACTGCCAAATTGAGGAATCCTTGAATTACTGGTATTCCCTGATTTGCCTCTGCAACATTCCACTTCTGGTAGACCAAAAAGTGTATCAGAAAGGGTGGTAATATAATATCAATCAAAATAAAAATTAACAGGGAATACATGATGCCAAAGGGACATGATAAACAAATCTGCCCAGTCTGCCAATTCCATAAAATGGTACCGCCGCAATGCCAATAGATGTTCTTGCAGATCAAATCCTTCTTCAAGCAATTTGATGGTGAGGCTGCTAACATACCTGTATCTGGGCCAGTTCAGGAAAGGCATGGCTATTGTAGTGAGAATGGGCTGAATGGACCTTAGTGTTATGGGCTTTTCTTGTTTTCTTTAATTGTTTCTTTAGTGCTGGCCGCCCCATTAAGGGCATCTAAGTAATTGTACTTAATTTTAGAATTAAGTTAATAAAAGAGATCAAGGGGGCTAGAGAGAGAAGTTTGAACTCTTCTTTTCTCTCTTCCCTTCTCTTCTTCTTCCACAACCTACTGGTGAAACCACTTTCTTCTCCTTTCTATTCCTTTCTTTCTTTCTTTTCTTATATTTTCTGAATTACTGCAGGTGTATTTCTCAACTTGGTATCAAAGTGGGTTCTCACTTTCGACTTCTTTCTCTTTTCTTTGCCCATACATAGTGTGTGGAGAACTCATCGATTGATCAATCAGCAACTTATGCAGCCCAGTTAGGAGGGTTTTTGGAGAGTTTTTGTGGAGGATTTCATCCTTAGTTGAAGCCCAAGGCAGGTTTTTGCAGGAAAAAGCAAATAACTAACTTGCAACATCCAAAGAAGGGTCCTCAGATGTTCCATGAAATTATGGAAGACATGAATAATGGTCACAAAGAGGTCCCTCCCCTTTTCCTGCTCTGGCTTTCACCCTTTTCTTCCTTGAGCACTGGCTTGACTTTTGTTGCTTAGGGATTTGCACTCCATTGCCATAAGAAGTCTTTTGACATCATTTTTTTTCTTGACTAGTAACGGCAGAATTTATTAATAATAAGGAACTTTAATTACAAGAGAGGGGGAGGTAAACTTTCTTAACTCCCCCATTTTAGCAAAACAAAAATACAAGATTAGAAATGAGCCCAAAAGAGAGATCCCCTAGTCGCCCCTTGTTTGGCTAACCCAACAGCAAGTGAGTTAGCAGTTCTCTTTACCCAACTGAATTTCACCTCAATGTCCCTAGTTAGCCACTTAATTTTTTTCTTTTCATTGTTGTAGTTCCAGATGCCAGAGTTATCTTCCTTTAGCCATCTCACCACCACCTCTAAGTCACCTTCAAAAACAACTTTTCTTAAGTTCAGCTCCCTTGCTCTTTGGGCACCTTCCAGAGCCGCAAGGATCTCAGCCCTAAGAGAGTCTCCTTCTCCAATAGGGCTTGAGAATATGGCTATAATAAGCCCCTCATCATTCCTGAACACTCCCCCTATACCAAAGAGCCCTGGGTTCCTTAAACTACTTCCATCAAAATTCAGCTTCATGAATCCTGATGGGGAAGAAGTCTAAGAGGGAGAAGAAATCGTATTAAGCTGGGCAGAATTAGCTATCTCCAACCAGTTTCTCATCAAGTCATCCAAGGAAAAAACTGTGAATAGGTTCAGAGATTTCAGCTAGTGAGCCACCCTTAAATGTATCAACTCCATTACATTCTCAGTGGTTCTCTCCTTTTTCTGAGAAAGTAGGTAAGTTTCTTTCTTCCCAGATACACCACCAGACTACAGCCCTCATACATCTCCACATAATTCTCCCTCTTTTTAAAGGCTAACTAAAGTAAGAAGGAGAGAAGAGGCTTTGCACATTCAAGGGAGGGGTCCATCTGCACCCAAAAAGGCAGAAAACCCATTCCCAAATAGTTCTAGCAAACAGGCAAGAAATCAATAGGTGGTAACCAGTTTCCCCTTCAACTTTACAAAGAATACACCTATGTGGGGATAAACAAGAATTGGGTCCCTGAAGGAGATCACTTGTGTTAATTCTTTCCAGGAATGTTCCCAACAAAAACTACCAACCCGAGGAGGAATGGGCTTGCTCCAAACCTCTTTAACAGGGAAAGACAGACCACTAGAGGCAGAAAGCTGAGATAAGGTCTCAAAGAAGGAAGCACAAGAGAAAGTACCAGAGGAGGATGGGGTCCAAATTCTGATATCTTCCTGAGAGGGGTCCAAGAAAACATTCTCAAGAATGGTTAACAAGGTCAAAGTACTCCCAAGGTCTATGTCCCTAATGGCCCTTCTCGGGCCTAGGTTCCACCCAAACCCAGAAGAGGAGTCTGAAGGCACAAGAAAAGATGAGGTGGGTTCATTTTTCAAGTTAGATAGGCATACAAAGAAGTCTTTTGACATCATCATCAAGGCCTTAGTGACACCCCGAGGAACTCAGCAAATGAAAAGAACTTAAATAGGGCCCAAATTGACGACTTCAGGTTCTAGTCTTAGGGTTGGAAGTCATAACTCCAGGCCCTAGGAGTCTATTTCTTATCAGAGTTCCTTTTTTTTAATTTGTTATTAGGCTGGTTATGTAATGGACTTTTCGGGCATTAGGAGTATTTTTATTTTCTTTCTTATTGCTGCCACCTATTAGGGGCAGACCAGTAAATGTATCTTTCATTATAGTCTGCTCATAAAAAACATAAGAGGGTATCAATACAGCTCCATGATTTTGGCTTCTTTCTCAAAAGTCTCTTCTCTTTTCTTCCTTTTCTTTCTTCTTCATTCAGATTTGTTTTCTTCTCTTTTTCTCACCAAATACATCAAATAATATCAAGGATTATTGCTAGTCTGATTCACATCTCCACCCAACGCTCCCCCAATCAAGATCAGTTTGAAGTCAAGAAGAGTATAAAACCAAGATGCTAACTGCAAAAGGAGGAACAATCAACTACACAATAAAAAAAGAAAAGAAAGGCATAATCAATCTCTTTTTAGTAGTAACATAAACACTAGGATACTGAAGCAAGATCTCCTGCAGCATGCATTTGTCAATAATGACATCAACTGGTATCTCAACTGTAGAAGCCAAACACTCCTTGTGACCTCTAGCTCCATGTATCAGGCCTTTTCCAGAGTAGCTCAGTGAATTTTCCCATTTAGCTCCACCAGAAACATCTGCTGATGGGTATTCTTCTTGTTGGTTCTCCTTTGACTCCAAAGGTAAGCAATCATCAGATAGTTTTTCTTGGTCCGCCATAATATAACCTCTATCATGGTGTTTTTCTTCTTCACTTTCAACCATACCTCTTTCAGCAGAAACACTATAGGGAGATAAATTTTCAGATTGATACTCATGATTCTGACCAGCAAGCAACCTTTCCCCATTTACCTTAACAGGATCTTCCACTGATGAAAATTCAAAGAATGAAAGATACTTATTATTATCCATGAAGCTCCTGTTGCCTGACATGCCCATCATGTGAAACCATTTATTTTTTGTAAGCATTGGGTTGATATCGAGGACAGTGTTAATGCACTTAGATTCCAATGATGGGAAGATAAATGAATTAGATGCAGCACCATTTCCATTCTCAAACTGAACCTTGCCTGCTGCTTGCTCCAATGCAGAATTTCTAGGGAACATTTCACCAAAATATGAACTTCCACCCTTCAAGACTTCTGCACTTTGGTTGGACACCTTCAGGTTGGAATCAGTGACATGCGGTGGTGTCTCAAAATTGAAGTCTGTATCAACATTAAAAGGATTTCTTGAAAGCCCTCCAAGTGGCCAGTACATATCATACTGATAATCTTCAGACTGAATATCCGACATCTTAGACCATGTTGGTGTAGATGGATGAAGGGGCACAGAGATGTGATTCAGTTTTAATTCCTGAAGTTTATTCACTAGATGGTTGTCTGGTCTAAAAGTTTTATTGGAAGTACAGTCAAAAGTATGTGACTTTACAGTCTCAGGTTGCTTTTGAGATAAATTTTCAACGGAGAAACCTGTGAATAACACTGATGATGATAAAAATCTTGTTTGCAACCCAATCAAACTACCATGCAGGTCATCAGGTTCCTCGGCATCATTTTTCTCATCAAAGCTATTCAAAGATGAACATTCTGAAAACTCCAAAGGATCTGCTGCATAAGAAAACTCATCTGTTGTACTAGATGCTTCAGAATCCTCACCATCTACAGCCCTGAGAGATTAAATATAAATGTGATCAGAATCTATGGACAAGGTTAGAATTGTTAGTATAATGTTATTGTATAGGTGACAGGGACAGTCTGGTCTTTTTACTTTAACTTAATAAGGGTGTTTTAGTCATTTTACGTAATTATATAAGAAAAAATAAACAATTGACAGATGGAAGTTGCTCTCTTTTTTCCACTTCATATTCTTCTCTCTGAATCTTCTTCTTCTTCTATTCAAACCGATACTCTCTCCTTTTACTTGAACAGTTCTGAGATTAAATAACCCAAGTTACTTTCAGACAACATATTCTTTTTTATGAAGTGAGAGGTTGCATCTCATGTCTCTCCTATGGATGCTTGTAATGCTTTCATTCATTGATTAATAAAATCCACTTATTAAAAAAAAAAAACATGTTCTTTTTTTAGGTATTGAGCTTTGAGTGCTTGGGGGTGCTTGTGTATGAGAGAGAGAGAGCTAATAAATTTAAGCCAAGGGGAAACCAACCTTTCATCTGATGCAAATGGAATTGGAACATGTAGAATCTCTGTACAATTGTTAAAAGGGCTAGGTAATTTACCATAAGGGAGTGCCTGAAAAGAAAAAACAATAGAAAAATTTCAAGTAAGAAAAAATGAAAAGTAAGTTAAGCAGGATATAATTGAGGAAAACATAAGAAGGCATAAAATACTTGTCAGAAAAAAAAACATAAGAAGCCAAAAAGAGTATAAATTGGTAATCAGTGGCCACTCTAATGATTATAACTCCAAAATCAGGATAAATTGCTTACAATTTTTTCTTATTGTTTTGATCAGTAGTATTCTTTTTCTTATAAATAACAAAAAACTATATTAGTGATAAAAAGCAGAGAAAGGAAAGAAGAATAGAAAATCATCAGAACAAGGTGATCAAGATCCAAAGCCAAATACTTCAGTCTAACACGGCATGACAGATACATGGACCACAGGACAATCTACCTGAGGAGGCCTATGTCCTAATGAAGCTCACTCCTGCCCACTCCATCCACAGCTACCATGTCTGCCAACAAGTAATCAGATTTCTGGATATAATGGAATATGATGTTCCTTTGGAAACCAAAGATTTAAACTAACTGATAAGATGATTTAGCACCCAATGACCCACTCCACCATCCCTTATCCACCCTATAACCACATTTGATCTCCTCCACCCTCACCAATAAAGAGAATATATCAGTTTCAGCCCCTCAAATGGCAATACAACTCAGCCCTCAAGAAGCTTCCAAACTTATAACCTGTGAAATTAGCATTCATTTTGATAAGCTTTTTTACTATTGTCACCCAAAGCACAAGTAGACAACAGAAAATTTCTTTTTGAAGACCTAGAAAACAGTGATATTAGAAAAAATAGTGCAATAAGTGTTCTTCTGTGTGATAGAACAAGAATTAGAAGAAATTGATTTCTTTCTATTGAGAAAATAGTACATATATATACAACCTTGTAGATACTAAAAAGGAAGAAAATC